GCGCCTCCACGCGCCGCCGCAACAGTCACCGTTGCCTCCGCTTCCCGCCGCACGTGCCGGCGCGCCGCCAGAGAGTTCCGCCGCCGATCAGAACCGCCGTGATCGCCTCCTCGCCCTCTTTCTAGATCTGTGGTCGTTGCGTCAATCGAAGCACTTTAGATTTTTTTAGGGTTTCTCCCTCTCCATGGCTGCCCAACTTGATGATCGGAGTCGGTCTCGCCAACCAGGTAAAGGACGTCCAAAATGTGACCACTGTGGCAAGCTAGGCCACAAAATTGATAGATGTTATGCACTTCATGGACGTCCTCCTTGACCTATAGCAATGGCTAATTCTGATCCACCCCGATCACCGTCTGCAGACCATCCTACTTCATCAAATATCATAAATAACCCTTTACTCTTTCAGGAATTTCTCAGATGGTATGAGGACCGTTAGCACTCTAGTTCCACTACATCTGCTTCTGTTATACGCACAGGTACTCCTTTTGTCGGTTTGACTCACTCTCTCGGATCTTGGGTCCTTGACTCAGGCACCACCGATCATATCACCGGTAACAAGTCCTTGTTTTCTTCCTTGTCATGTTCGATTAATTTACCCTTGGTAACTGTGGCTGATGGGTCTAGAGTCTCATCTCATGGTATTGGTACTGTTCATATTTTTTCGTCCATATCCATTGATAATGTACTTTATGTCCCTGGGTCTCCTTTTAACTTATTGTCCGTAAGTCGTCTAACTCGTTCTTAAACGGATATCAACATCGGTTAACGGATATCAACATCGGTTAACGGATATCAACATCGGTTAACGGATATCAACATCGGTTAACGGATATCAACATCGGTTAACGGATATCAACATCGGTTAACGGATATCCACATCCGCTAACGGATATCCACATCCGCTAACGGATATCAACAGAAATTAAGGTCTATTCTACAGAAATTAAGGTCTCACGCATCATGCTGACCTACCATACTACCGTGATTTATTTATCTTGCCACTTTAATATGATATATCGTGGCCTACTCCCTACCTACTGTTATACTAATTTTCAGCCAAGACTTGATAAAGCTTATATAGGAACTAGAAAGACTTTATTAATTAGAATGTTACTGTAATGAATTAGACATTGATACATTAAAAATTTCTATTACCCTAATAAATTGACTTAAAAGATATTTACCTTATTATTTATTAATTCTCAGGAATTTAGGCGTATCAAAGGGAACATAAACTCAATGAGGGAACATGCAGAGCTTTTGAGTTCTGTCAGGGATGATATTACCGACTTTAAGGTGAATCATGAGTATGATTTGAATTAAATAAATAACACAGATATTTCCGCATAATAGCTGTACTATATTTACCTTCTTCTGGCAGACATCGGGCAGTATGTCACCAAGGATGCAGTTGCTACGGGAGAGGGCTGCCATCCATGGAAATATATCTCATGTAAGTATTTCTTCTATGGAGTATTATAAATTTGTATTCTAATTAAATTTTAATTTGGTGAATATTTCTTTATTGGCCACTGGTGAAAGCTAAATATGCATTGATCCTTTGAAAAGTTACACTATTCGGGACAATCCAGACTTGCTCTAGGGTTTGCACAATTTGAACTAATGTCATACAGTCAGCTGTAGCTAAGATTTGTCATACGATGTCTTCTTTTGTACATTTTTTTTGGCTGCATATCATGAGGTCTTTTAAGTCATATCTAAGGTTTAAACCAAAGTCACAGGCTTACCAGTGTTTAAATTTAACTGGAGATTTATATAATATTGAGTAATCAATATCCCAGTAGTTCTCAAATATAATATTTTCCTTTTCAATAATCATATTCTTCTAGGTATACAAATTATTCTTAAGGTTCCATCAATAATGGCTGGCCAAACTGTAGCATAACCTATTGCATCTATGCAGTCCTTGGTTCCTACATGGTGTGTCATTGATGTTTAGTTTGATATAGCTAAATCTTAAAACATATTGTTCGACTTATAATTATAAATTCTCAAAATTTGCAGTACTGCATCTACCCTTTCAGGAGTAATATCTCATAATAATTTTTCTTTAACAGAAAAAATCTCGGAAACCTTTTTACTTTATATGCGAATGGCTGTCTTCTTTTTGAGATTTCTCCTCTTAGTGCTAACATATTGTCATAATAAGGGGCATTGTAGAAACTCTTTTATTTTCAGCTCTTTTAGATGTGACTCTATTATCTGGATTTTGAGGAAGTGTTGATTCACTTTCCCTGCATTTTGTTTTTCAGATGGATGATGTGATTAGTCAAGCTCAAGCAACAAGAGCTGTGTTGGGTTCTCAAAGAGCCTTGTTTTCTGATGTTCAAGGAAAAGTGAAAGGTCTTGGTGACAAGTTCCCCATGATTCGAAGCCTTCTTGGTATGTTGCAGTTTTTATCTTCTAATTTTCCATTGATTTTCCGATTCGCCTCTGATCAAGTATGTGCTTTTGCAGGTTCGATAAGAAGGCGGCGTTCAAGGGATACTCTTATTCTGTCAGCAGTAATTGCTGCTTGTACGTTGTTTCTCATCATTTATTGGCTTTCAAAGTGACCAAAATATTTTGTAACGCATTATGAATTATGGTAATGCTATCCATTGAATTTTTCCGCTTGTCTGTTTTTTTTATTTTCTGTTTTTCAGAGGAGGGGGAGAGTAGGATTTTTTTTCAACCCACTGTCTAGGAGCCTCATATTTGTATGTCAGTTGTTGACATTAAAAAAAATATTTGATTTTTTATATAAATCAGTATCAAATAGTAAATTCCACATTGTTTCTGGTCTTATGTCAAGTATATATTCTAATTTCCTGAATACTTTTCTTTTAGGAAACCCGCGGGTAACAAGTAGCTTAAGACAGAGTGACCAATGGTAGTAAATTTAGTTCCTGATAACAAACTCAATTTCGTAGCTAGGAATTGGGAAAACCTGCTTTTCGTTGGACTGATTTACCTTCTAGAACAAACAATACGCATTCAACATACTTTCTTACCGTTGCCTACTCAGTAAGTTAGTTGTCTTTGGAAAGTAAGCATTCTTCATTTTTCGTGTTTGATAACTTCTTTATAACACGTTAAAAGTATATAATAAAGAAGATTTAGGATGTTCATGTTGATTTCAATATTAGTTGTTAGTAATGATATATATATATATATATATATATATATATATATATATATATATATATGTATTATGTATATGTGTGTGTATATGTATATATATGTATGTATATGTATAGTTCTTGTGTTTGAGATATCAGGATATCCAGTTGTGTAATAATAGTTTTTCTCCTATGATAGCATGGGATGGGCCATCGGGTTATATTTACCAAATTACCTGGGGGAAGGGGGTTCGAGTGCCAAATAAAAAACTAACTTCAGATCTGTGATGGGAAAAAGTCATGTCTCCAACTGAGCTTGGAGTAATTAAGAAGGCTGACTTAAGCAATGAGTGAATGAAAGTTGACATAACTGTAGAGTGGGTCTGGGAACTGCACCCTCCAAAAATTTTCTTCACAATTTGTAGTAGCAAGCGTTTTTCTTTTGGATTTTATACAGCACATGATTTGATTGGACACGTGAAGTCACCACTACTACTTGCTTCTTGTCTCTATTTGTCCATAAAACCAGCTTGCCGTGCATGCACTTGCTGGCAATTTTTCTTTCCCTGCTGGTGCGTGGTCCCTTCATGTCTTGATGCTGTTGTGGTCCTTGTTCAACATTCCTATCAGCTTAACAAAGTAATCTGTCTTCTAATAGCTTTTAGATCTCCCCCTGCATGTGCTATCTCATCTTGTCTCCTTAAAAAAATCTGAAACACATTTAATCAGTACGCTATTATCATGTCGGCCTCCTGGATTATGAGGACTTTAATGTTCGATTGAAGACGTATCCCTTGAATTATACATCTCTGCTCATCACAATATTCACTGAAGTCATTATGTGACTCAAATATTTAATTTCCAGTGTTTTGCACCCATGCTGTTATTTGTGTATAACTCTCAACTCATTATATATGTATCCTTGACAAAAGAGGCATGGGAGGGTGAATAAGTAAGTACATAATAGCATAAGTGTATATTATTTTTAAAAGGGTTAAATATGTTTTTCATCCCTTAAGTATCACTAATTTTTGGTTTTAGTCCCTACTTAAAACTTTGATGGCTTTTAGTTCTCATAGTATTGAAACATGTAATATTAGTCCTTAAAAATGGACGGCGTCAACTTTTTGTTGATTTGGCAAACGACGAGGCCACGTCTTCTTCTTACGTATCTGCCACGTTGCTTCTTCGTCATCTCAATTGGGGGAAAGCTGGGTTCTTCTTCTTCGTCATCTCAGATTAACCAATTCACCGATCCCCTCAGGAATGGACCCAGAAAAATTATTTTCTGAAATTAACAAAATTGACAAGTTCTATGTCCCAGAAATCCAATTAGAAATCGATCCAGAAAGAGAGTTCTCAACAAGCTCCAACAAATACAAATGGGGTAAACCCCATAACCCCCCTGGTACAACCCCAGAAAGCTCCAACTGGTATTCATTTTCTCGGAGCAAACGAGGTTTCAACCAAAAACAGATCAACAAAATACATTTTCACAACATATCAACGAGGTTCTCACCAAAACCAAGCCAACTCCAAAGACACCTCCAGGGCCATGGAAGCTACCTGTCATAGGAAACATACCCCATCTTGTTACAGCAAATAAACTAAACCCTAAGCCGAACCCTTTTCAAACTCTTGCATTCCCCGAGACTGTCTGGGGGATCCTCCCGGAAAACGAATTGTAAATCAAAATCAGCTCCTCCAACACTCCTCCACCGCACAACCTTGTCGGAACCTCGCCGGAGAATCAATTAAACGAAACGTCGAAACTCTACAACTTTGAGTTTTCACCCAACCCACTGAGCAACTACCCAGAGAAGGAGGTTTGTGAGCTTTGTCAAGTTTCCTAGAGATGGAGGAATGAGGCCTACAAGGCTGCATCCTGCTAGCCAGAAGAAGAACCCAACTTTGCTTCCAACTGAGATGACGAAGAAGCAACGTGGCATATACTTAAGAAGAAGACGTGGCCTCACCGTTTGTCAGATCAACAAAAAGTTGACGCCGTCCATTTTTAAGGACTAATATTATATGTTTCAATATTATGAGGACTAAAAGCCATCAAAAGAGTAGGGACTAAAACAAAAAATCAGTGATATTTAAAGAACGAAAAACATATTTAACCCTTTTTAAAAACCTGAAATGAAATATACGTACAGGTGTACACAATGTCCTACGGATACACTGAAAGTGCAGATTAATTGGCTCAAATTTGTTATAACTTAATACTATAATAAATATTAAAAAAAAAGGTATTGTTACGGTGGTAATATCATTTTATAGGATAGAGATCACATTTTATAAAATTAACCAAAGGAGTAAATAAATATGAACTATTAGACGGTAATGTTGGAAGTCATGATAGGAAATGTGTAGTCAGCAAGAGCGGCTCCATCGTGACTGAGCTTTGATGAGTTGCAGTGTTTCTGGAAAATATAGAACTAAAATCCACATGAAGAAGCTGACTTGATGCTATTTATGGAGAATCAGGACACGTGGTCCTGCAGTATTTTGAAGCAGGAAAGAGATGAAGGACGCTAGGTTTCATTTCATGTCGAGTAAGACATGCCCAAGCAGCCAAGGAAAGCACAAAAGCTTGAGGAAGGAGATCAGGTACATCTCTCTCTCTCTCTCTCTCTAATCTATGGTTGTAGTATTGTAGGTTAGAGCAGTAGGGTTCTTAGATAGTTTTGTATGGTAATGGTAGCTGAGGACCAACTACGCATGTACGTTGTTGTTTGACAGTAGGGCCGTACAAAGTTTCAGGCGAACATAAATGTCAAAACAGTGATTGCTCCATAAATGTCATCTTTATTGGATTTCTATCCACACATAGTGTGAGAGAGTGAGAAAGAAAGACAGAGAGTCGCTCTGTGTGTGTGTATGTATTCCACGAGGGACGTGTTGGGATATTTCTTTCTCTTTTCTTCTTCTTCAGTGTTTTCAAAACAGTAAGCAAAAAAATAAGACTATTCAAAATCTAAACAACCCTCCCTTAGAAGCCTTAATTAACAATTTGATTTCAGAAGGTTCACTTTATTACTATATTAGTCATTAAAAATAAAATAAAATAAAAGAAAACCTAAATAATTAATTGAGATTTATTTTTGTATATAAATTTATTACTTATTATTATTAATGAAAAGTGTATTAGTTTTAGGAATTTAAATAATTTTTTTTAAAAATTCAGAAGCTTATTTTAGCGTTTAAGAAAATGAAGAACTAATGGATAGGAATTGAATTAATTATTATTTTATTTATAACTGAATTTAAAGATAAATGATAGACAGACTTTAGAGGCGAAAATAATTTTTTCCTATTCTTTTTAAATTTAATTTTCTTATTTTTTTTATCTGTTTTTCCAACATAAGTATTTTATTTTATTTTAGTTTTAATATAACACTTTTAGTGTCTCTCATGATTATTTTTATTTTATTCCCTGTACTTTTATTAAATATTATATATGTTTTTCTATCAATATTAGCTATATATATATATATATATATATATATATATATATATATATATATATATATATATATATATATAAAATCAGGATTGAGAAAAATTTGCAACCCTCCGAAACCAACCAACCTGAAAAGTAAAATAAGTAAAATCCATTTTGATCAAATTCCGGTTATAAAAGATAAAATATACGAGTAAAAACGAGTTTTAGTTATTAAGTTCGAACACTAACTTCATCAAATGTTTGAGCAAACAATGTCAAACGTTAAAACTACATGATAACAATTTTGTAAATAATGTGTTAAAATTTATGCTTGAGTCATTATGGTTAGACGTAATATTTGATATTTATGTTTAATCACTTTAGGTCAAACGTAAATATAAATTTATATTTGACCAATAAGGGATAGATGTAATTATCAAATTTTATATTTGATTTATAAGGAGATTGACGTAATTATTAAATATTACCTTTGGCCTATTAAGAAACAAACATAATTATCAAATTTTACGTTTGACCTATAAGGGGATATAAGTAATTTTCAAATTTTACGTCTGACCTTTTCTAATCAAATGTAACCCCTCATATGTAGTTCTGATGTCACTTTCATTTTCACTTTCATCTTCATACAACAGTGACAACGAATAGTGCAAACACCCTACGAATATTGTGCTGCATCCATTGGTGAGGTTTTTTTTTTCCTTTAATGTGAATCTCTCCCTCGCTATGTTCATGTTTCTCTTTCTTTTTCTCAATTTTTGAATCCTATTGGAAGTCATCACGAGCACTTTTGAACCTATGCAAGGGGTTTTACGTTCAAGACATGAAAATATGTCCTATAACCATTGCTTGCTGCTACCATAGCGCTTCCACTAAAGTTCTCGTTAACACTATTGGTGTCACTGGAGAATGCAAATGCGAGCCATTGTGAGCTAAAAATGCAATGTAGAAGCACACTCATTGTGCCTCACTTTCCCAGAAATTGTCAACCATATATTGCGAGCTCCACTGTTACCATATCCACATGTGCTTCGGTGGAAATCCACAAAGATCTTCTTACACACATCACAAAAGAGGTTTAGATCGAAGAGGAAGATGGAAAACTCACTCACCTATGTTATTATCTTCATCTTTTGGTATTCTTGCTGCACATTGTTCTTGTGTTAAGAAGGATAAAAACTAATGAAAAAGAAGAAATCTAGAGTGT